GCGCAGGGCGTGCAGGGTTGAGAGTCTGTTCGCCCTGCCCGCAGCCAGAGAAGACCCTGGGGCTTCCGAGTGTAAACCGCCTCTCTACCACGAGAGCAGGGAGGCCAGGACTCCATCTGTAATGGCAGTGGGGTCCTGGTGCGTACGCACTGCCCTCAGGGAGTAGCTGGGAAATACCTGGCTCTCTCCGTGAGTTTCAGCTGGGAACCGTGATGGTGTGGGCGAGCACAGACTCCCTGGAACACTGTCTCTCTGGGCTCAGGGTCTGTTCACCCCGCCCACCACCAGAGAAGTTACTACGGCTTCTGAGTGAAAACCTCCTCTCTGCCGCAGGAGCAGGGAGTCCAGGACTCCATCTGTAATGGTGGCCGGGTCCTGGTGTGCACGCACTGCCCTCAGGGAATGGCTGGGAAATACCTGGCTCTCTCCGCACATTTCAGCTGGGAACCATGGTGGTGTGGGTGAGCACAGTCTCCCTGGAACACTGTCTCTCTCAGCGCAGGTCACGCTGGGCTGAGAGTTTGTTCACCCCGCCCACCGCCAGAGAAGTTCCTGCGGCTTCTGAGTGAAAACCTCCTCTCTCTATACCCATAATCTTATATATAATGCATATATATTATACATAATCTTACTCTAAAGCCTTCATACTAGATATTACTATCATAACAAATTTAAGATGAGGATAAAGAGATTTAAAGAGATTAACAAAATTATGTATAGTTACAAATTTAGGAAATAGAGAACTCAGTAATTGAGCTTAGGCTTCTTCTTTTATTCATTCAGTAATATTCAAATATATCTGAGCAAAACTGGACACTGTTTGGAAGGAAGGACTAGGAGTGGAGGGTAGTTGCTGTATAAAAAACAAACCATGTTCATTTTACTCTGGATATTGTGGAGAAAATAAATGAAAAGATGACAAGAGAAAACACAAAGACATTAGACTGAATATTGTGGAGGTAGTTCATATAAGAATAATGTTGGCTTCTACCAGTTTGGTAGCTGTGAAGTTGAAGAAACCTATACTTACAGCTTGCACTGAACGTGTAGTGGTGGTAGGAAAAAGGAGTCAGGCAAGAGTAGCCTCTCACTTTTGACTCTGAGCAACATGGTAGCCTGAAATGAGAAATGCTAGAAGGAATATGCAGAGTGATAAAACCTGTCTAGCCCCAAGTTTCATGCTCTTAAGCATTATTAATGTTTACACTAATTAATAGCATGGAAATAAGACATCTGAAATCCAGCTCACATCACTGTGAGCTACCTGGAAAGGTTTATGGAAAAGTCACCTTTTCCTTTCCCACATAAAAAGGAGGGGGAGAAATTTAGTATAGAATTCACTCAGTTAAGTACTTTGAGTAGGATTATATGAATGACTCTTCAAACTTCCATAAATTTGAACTTAAATATTTATAATATTGTGAGGTGAATTTGAGGGAAAAATATTTGAACATATTTTTCCAAAAAGTTGCCAGTTAACTTTAAATGATTCAGTTATATATATTTTTCTTCTTTCTATATTTTTATATTTTCTAAAATGACCACATACTACTTTTGTAGCAGTTAATTATTTGGAAAACTTCAACCTCTAAAGTTATATCTGTTGTCTGTGTATAGTCCATAGTAATAAGTTCTGAGAAACCCTTAGATCATATCCTTGATCAAACCAATTAAAACCCATCAAACTAATGGTATAAGTGATGCATGTCTTAAACTACAAGTACTTCTTGTTCTGCCACATGTGATGCTATCCCAGCCAGAGTGGACTACAGTCCCTGTTGGGAACTGATCAGTAGTGTGATCATTGTGATGAAGATGAGACAGCTAAGGAATTTAAGATTTTCTTGGAATTTTTTTTTTTTTGGCAAGTTATTTTCCCAAATTTTACCATTTTATAGTTTCTTATACTTTTTAGTTTCCCACATCTTAAGATAAGGTAATCATAAAATATTCTTTAAGAACTCTTCTTAGCCATTCTTGAATCTTGTCCTTCCTTCCTTTCAGGGTCAATGATTGTATCTTGCGGGTGAACGAGGTCGACGTGTCCGAGGTTTCCCACAGTAAAGCAGTGGAAGCCCTCAAAGAAGCGGGGTCTATCGTTCGGCTCTATGTGCGTCGAAGACGACCCATTTTGGAGACTGTTGTGGAAATCAAGCTATTCAAAGGGCCTAAAGGTAATTAAAACATAAACGACTCATAAAACAGGAGGGATAAACTTTGGGACTTAACATCTGTGATACAACTCACCTACAATGTATCTTCTGACATTCAGTGCCTCGCGTCTTAGTCACTTCCTGATTGCTGAGATACCATGCCTGATACCCAATTTATAGGACAGTTTTATTTTGGTGCATGGTTTGTAGGGGTTTCAGTCCATCGCTGGCTGGCTCCAGAGCAGAAGCACACAGTGGAAGGGCTGCTGATGAGGAAAGCGGCTCACCTAGTGGCAAAAAGGAAGCAGAGAGAAAGGAAGGAACCCAGAAAGAAGGTATAGGCTTCCAGGACACACCCTCACTGTTCACCCTAACCCCAACTTCAACCCCAGCTCCTAACATCTCATTTAGCTGCTTAACCCCATAATCTCGTCAACTTTCAAAATCCCCACTTTTGTTTTTTGTTTTTTGTTTTTTGGTTTTTCTCCGGTACCGGGAACCCAACTCATGACCTTGCGCTTGCCAGGCAGGCACTTTTGCCGCTGAGCTAAATCCCCAGCCCCCAAAATCCCCACTTTTGAATGTTTGAGGCTTTGGAGCCAATGTCCAGTTAAAAACTAGAACAGCAACACATTGGGAATTCTGCAACAAGGATTTCTACAAAAGAACTTTAAAAAAATCAAAACACTGAATATGAACTCAGCTAAAAACCTAGATTTGGGTAAGACTATTTTATAAACAGTAATAGCAATAGCCACTCACACTTTTCTATATTTTTTTTGTTTACTGGATTATTGTAACTTGGCTAGCACATTAACACTTTCTAATGTTCCAGATAGAAATAGTAAACCCTCTCAACTAGCAAAATAATGTAAATGATAAATCTATATTGATATAGCAATTATATTTTATAAGATTGCTGCACTTTTTAAAATTCTGTGATATTTTATGTGTTGTATCTAAGAAGAACTATTCATTTTATATTTGGAGGAGCCAAAATCAGTTAATTGTTTTGTAACTTTCACAAATCTCTAGAGGTTTGGTGGTTAATCACAAAAACATTGAGATGAATTATTTTTTTGAGATGAACTATTATACTAAGTTTAAGAATAATCTTTTAAGAATTTTTTAGAATGACGTTTGATATTGGCTTGAGAGTGTTTCAAATATTTCAGTGAACTCTAATAATTAGCTTCAATATTTAAGCATTTTAGATTATAGCTGAATAATTACTAGAGTCTTAGAATCATTTCTCCTTCCTTTAAAATTTATTTAATCTCTAATACTAAAGGTTATTTTAAAAATAAGCATATCACCTTCTTGAGTAGTGTGTATTATTAAAGATCTCATGCACAAAAGTAATGAAAGACTGAGTTCAAAAGCCTAGTTCAGCGATTTACTTGTGGAGTTACCTGGATTGAATCAGTTTGCTTGTTAAATGAGGATACTAATGGTAGCATCTCTCCCATGGGCTTCATGAGGATGAAGCACTTCACAAATAGCTGACAGATAGTGAGCAAGTAGAGCCTGGTGGTTAAGGGCACAGACCCTCTGGTGCTAAAGTGTGTAGGATAGAACCCAGGCTTTTCAGCTCACCAGCTGTTAGACTTTGGGGCAAACATATAAGTTCTCTTTCCCTTAACTTTCTCATCTACAAATAAGAAGTAAAAATAGTACTTTACTTGCTCTTAGAGATGTAACAACTAGATGAGTCAATTCACATAAAGTATTTAAAATAAAGCCTGGAATAATAGGACTGCCCAACAAATATTAGCTATGTATATATATCATTTGTAATACTATTTACCAAATACAAGTTTAACCTTTGTAGCAAGTATGTGCCAATGTCGTGGCCATACTCAGCAATCTCTTGTGGGTTAACTTCATGTACATTAAAAATCACAGAGATTTCAAAAACAGAAGAAAAATATAAAGCTGTCTCATACTGCAACCATTAATGATATGGTAAACAGGCCTTCTACCCTACGCCTTTACTAAAATCATTGGCAAGATGCTAGAAAGCCACAGTGATCATACCTATTATTTCTGTTGCAAGTCTATGCTGTATATAAATAGTATGTAGTTATTTCTACAATCCAGTTAATAGCAATTATTCAATGCTTCCCTAAGGCAAATACTAATTTTGAGTGTACAGCACGGTGTAACTATCCATTTATATGCTTCCTGTTCTGAGTCACTCTGTGACCTCCAGCTGCTCAGCAGAGCACTTAAACCCTACAGGGAAATGATGCCCCAAACTTCCCAACTTTATGAGGAACATATTTATTTTAATCTTTATTTTTGGCACTAGGGCTCCCTCCAGCTCATTTACTTCAGTCTGTACTGTTTTCTTCTTTGAACCTGGAGTGGGGCAGGAATTGCCTGGCTGCATCAACAGGGGAAGTGAAAAATGAGCATTAATCAGCCAGGTAAATGAAGGCAATAGCGTAGAGAGAGCTCATGGTGGCTGGAAGATGAGGCTACACACATGCTTGGACTACTAATCCAAGAAGAACCAATACATTCTTAAATCTCTTTATATCTTAAATGCAGCTCCTGCAAAATCCCTATTTGGCCTGTTGGGATTCTGCTGAGTCAGGCATACTATTTGTATTGTCACTACCCAAAGGTCACTGATGGGGATTTGTTTCTCTATATAAAGCTTATTGATTTACGAGGAAAGAAATGTTTCTAGTCATTGTTTGAATTCTTGGTGCCTTTCCCAATGGCTTACATGCAGGAAATACAGAATCAGAATAAGTTGAATAATTAAATTGGATTTCACACTTAATCTTATGATACCTTGCTCTCTTAGCACCTTACAATTCTTTATTTTTGAATTGCAATATATGTGAATGTGGAAAGGATCAAGAACAACATATATGTACCAACTGCCCACAATGAATACATTTATCACGTGCTAACAAAAAAGGGAAATTATACCTGAAAGAAATTTCTACTAAAGCTTACCTTATATCTTGGGAACTGTTATGCACTGTGGAGGAAGAAGATGAATGAAAATGGTTCTAATGAGAAAAGTATATGTAAGGCTATCTTACTTTAATGCAAGGAAGAATAAAATCAGCTCTGTGATGGAGCTTGAACCATGAATTGAATTGAATATAGAGGAAGATGTGATTCATTTTAAGCAAAAGAACAAAAATTCTCCAGAGAATTTAAAATATAATAGGTACATAGAAGGTCCTTGTCTACCTTTCTTTGAGCCTATGGGTACTCTATAGTAAGCATTAACAATCGAGGCAGTTGAGCTATCTAAACTCAAATGTGTACATGTAGTATAGAGCTACTTAAATATATATTTAGTCTATCAATAACTGACCAAATATTTGTTAAGTACCCACTACCATATTTCTTGGAGTAGAACTAGATGGTAGGAATTCAGAGAAGCAGTACTTGCCCTCAAGAAGAAAATAGTCTGGTGGAGGAAACACCTGAAATGGAGAAAATGCTGGAGAAAAGTGCTATAAATAAATGTGATATAAATAAACTGGAGAAAGTGCTATAAATAAATATAAAAGACTGATAAATGGGAGTGAATTAACTAATGGGTCAAAGTAGACTTCTATAAGCAACTACTACCACATAAAAAAAGGTTTTAAAATATAAATTAAAACAGAAATTTAGGGCTGGGGATGTAGCTCAGTGGCATAAGCGCCTGCCTGGCAAGCACAAGGTCATGAGTTCAATCCCCGGTACCGCAAAAAAAAAAAAACAGAAATTTAGCCAGATAAAAAAGTCAAGGCGAGTATTCCAGATCAATATAAAAGTATATATGTGTGAAAAGTCTTGTTACAAAAGATCTTGATACCTTCAAGACAATGAATAACATGAAATGATATGGTTGAGGTCAGCAGGGAGCAGATCATTTGCAGTTTCTTTTACTATATTCAAAGATCTGTAGTTATTTTTAAATGTAGTTAGAAGTTATTGTAAAATGTTAAGCTTGAGAAGGACATGACCAAATTTGTCACTTTTAGATGATCCCTCTGGCTGGTATAAAAAGAATGGATGAGACAGGGCAGGAGTAAGACGAGAGATTAGTTGGTGGTTACATGGAAGAAGTAGATGTGCATGGATTTGAGGATTCTTTGAAATAGTGATTTGTTAAGATTTTCTAATTCCATACCCTGTGTTTATTCCATCTATTACACAAATTACTAATTATGGGATAATCTTGGATGTATGTAATTCTGTCTTCATAGCAGTGCTAATCTTCCCAATGTTTAGATAGAACGAACCAGTTGATGATTTACAGCCATGTCCCTCAGGAATATTCTGATCATATGCAAATCTGATTTAGAATGTCTTTTCTTAACCATATGCAGATATATCCCTAACCTTTTGGTGAGAGAGTTGATCACTGAAAGCAACTGGGATAACTGTGTGTAGCCAGTTGTTGGAGGAAAAAAGCATGGTATCATATATAGAACCTGATTAGGGAAATCTACTTAAGTTTACCAAGCAATTAGGCAAAGAATTAGGCAAAGGAAAATATCTGAAGCTTATAAGTGCATTCCCAAAAAAATAAAGTTGCAACAAAACCATTTCATGTGACTTTCTCAAGAATAGTATGTCATAACTTCTAAAGAGTAGTATAATTACATCAGTGTCAAACTGTTGTTGTCTGCTGCCTAAACCAAAGAAAGGTAAATCCCTCTAAATTAGATGGCTTCCTTTAAGATACTTTTGTTCTTTAAGAATCATATAAGTGGCGTAAAGCCTCAGTTCTAAAATTGAAAATTCAGTTTTATTAATATCCAAAGGTAGACTTACTTGTGGTTTTATTTTAGTCACTTATTAATAAAAACTAAAAGAGGGATTAAGTCCATCTAGCAACAGATTTCAACAATTCTCTTCCAAGTGTTTAAAGTATTTATAAACATCATGTGCTTTAATTTCTTTATAGATACAGTTGGGCTTTTGTTTTATTATATTTTTTAATTTTGCAGTTATGTAGCCTTGTATCAGTGCAAATCTAAGACACAGTGGAGATTACAGAG